CTCCCAGGGTCGGCTTCCCCCGCGCTCCGCGGAGCCCCAGCTGCAAGCGTGAATGTGGCTGCGGACCGTGTGGCCGGTGGCAGGGCCTTGTCCCAGACAAAGGCCTGGCCGCTCCCAGGCGCAATTAGGCCACCCGCCTCCTCGGCCTCCGGGGCCCCCATTGTCCCCAAGGTCTCCAATTAGCCCAGGCGCCCCGCGTCCCCGAGCTCGGTGTCCCGAGGCCCCCTTAACCCTTCAAGGACTAGCGTCTTAGCCCTGGACGGGGAGCGCGCAGAGCCCAACGCGTGTGCAGGGCCTGCTTTGGGGTGATGGTCATTAAGGGGTGGTTGAAGTGGTGACGGGTGCCCTCGGAGGCTGTGAAGGAGAGTGTAAGATCTGGGGGCCGGCTTGTGCCTGTCAGTGTGACATCGTGAGTCACCGGGCAGTGAGTGTGGCTGTGGGGACTCCGTGAGACCCCTAGTGGCTCAGAAAAACCACCCGCTGCTCCCCTGAGCCAGTTCCTTCACGGCGACCCGGTACGTTAACAGAGTAGAACTGAACGTCCAGGGTTTTTCTTGGCTGTCCTGGCAACCTGTTTGCGCTCCACCGCTAACTTGCAGCTAATCGAAAGTGGAGCCCTGGCGGGCCCAGTGTTTAAAGGGCTTTGAGTGAAAGGTCAGGGTTCAAAGCCACCAGCTACGCTCCACCGGAGAAGGATGATGAGAGACTCAGCTTCGGTAAAGATTTACAGCGTTGGAAACCCGGGAGCAGCTCCTCTCTATGAGTCTACTGAAGGAAGGGCAATGGGCTTGGTGGGTTTTGGCTGACCCAAAGGAAGACCCTCAACAAGATGGACTGACACAGTGAATTTGAGCATATCTGAGAAGACGAGGGTGGCACTGGGTAGGGCAGGGTTCAGACCCATTGTTCCGAAGGTCGCTATGAGTCTTAATCTGACAGCACCTAAGGGAGCTCTGGTGGCCTAGTGGCAAGAAGCTGTGCTGCAATCTCGAAGGCACGCGCTTCAAGACCACAAGCTGCCCCCCGGGAGAATGATAACTGCATTTGAAAACCCGCCGGAGGGTCAGCTATGGGTCACTTCCAACTCACAACAACAGGAACAGTAACAACAGGAGAGCTCTGGTGGCCTAGTGATAAGAAGCTGCGCTGCAATCTCTAAGGCATGCTGTTCAAAACCCATCAGCTGCTCTACGGGAGAAGGATTCACTGTCTCAGAAAACCAACAATTGGTTCGTATTCGATGGTCCACCACCACCACAACAACGCTTTACAGAACCCATGCAATCGCAGTCGTAAGAGAAAGACGGATTTGAGAATCCTTTTCAATTACAGCTAAGAAAACCCGATACAGCGGTTCTGTTCTGTTCTGTTCTGTTAAACACACGCAGTGGCCAGGAGTTAGAGATCACTCCACCGCAAATGACAACCGTTTTTTATGTAAGCAATCTTTCTCAGCACTACTGGGTGAGTTCAACCATGACCTTTCTGTTAGCAGCTGAGAACAGACTTTTGTTGCTGCATTTCGTTTCAGACTCATAGTGACCCCTCTTCTGCCTTCGAGACTGTGAATCTTCACTGGAGGTAATTACTCCTGTTTCTTCCTCGGAGAAACGAGTTGATTCGAACCGCTGGTCTTTGGTCTTTCAGACATCACGTTATACATTTTGCCATCAGGCTAGCTGGCAATTCAGCACATAACGCCTTTTGTGCCCTCCTAAGACCTGGTTTTAGATTAATGGGGATCTTCCGAGTCCTCAAGCCATTCCTTCTCTCCCCTCCCCCGGTTTTGGGGACCTGGCCCTGCCTCCCCAGGGCTCCACGTCCCCCGCGGGCACCCCCTGCCCCCAACCCCCGCCTGTTCAGCTGCACCCTCTTGAGAACATTCGCACACAAACCTCCCAGCTCGAGGACCCACCCGCTTCCCAGGTGTGGGACCGCTCTAGGGACGCGAGAAGACCGAAGGGTAAACTTGAGTCCTCCTGCCTCCTTTGAGAAGGACCCCCAATCCAGTCCCCTCTCCTCCTCCTTGCATGGTCAATATTCCAGCAGGCAGGGAGAGGGGATGGGCCCTTTGTCCTTGCACACTCCCCCGGGAAAGGACATTAGAGAAAGGGGTACCCATGCTGTGCTCATCTGCCTAAGGACATGCACAGAGCTGGGGGGGGGGGAGTTCCGCATCCCCAGGGGATCCCTCGGCAGCGCAGCCTGGTTCCCCCTGAAGTTGGAGGTGCCTCCATGTAGCGGTCCGCCAGCTCTGCAGAGCCAGCGCTGGCGGTGGTAGCAATCTCTCCCCGGTTCTGCAGAGGCTACACCCCACGCCCGGGTCACC